TCACTCCCCCCACTGGAGCAACAGGTTGTGGTGCTACTTAAGATCTTACTTTTGACCCACACTCAGCCTCCTAGCAGTGGAGGACTTACCGGGGTCAGGATTCAGCCTCTCTCTCTTGGGCTGAGCCCCCTTTACTTGGCCTTGGGCCTAAACTTCAGCCTCAGGTGTCCAAAGACCTACCTGGGCCTACTGCCCTCACTCAGGGTCTCCACACCGCCCCTTCACTTGGGGCTCTAGATCTCCACCCCTTTCACTCATGGCTCCCCACTGCCCCCTCGCTTGGGGCTACTCGTCTCTGCCCCCTTCACTCGGGGCTCCAGACTGCCGTCTCACTTGAGGCCATGGGGCTTCGGTCCCCACAGGGCTCAGGTGGCTGCAGCCATGCCTGGCCCCCACTCTCCCTCCTTGGGGTCTCTCGGGGTCTTGCACCACACAGGGCTCAGGTGGCCATAGCCATGTCTGGCCCCCAACTGCCTCTGGTGTTACTTAACCCACCCAAAGGTGAGGGCTAGGGTTAAGGTGCTCCTACCTGCCTTTCACCGGGGTAATAACTGGCCTGATATTTCCTGGGGGCTCCCTTGCCACTGAGAGCCCCACCTGGCCACCCACTCCTGGCAGGGTGCAGTTTTAGGTCATGCCCAGGACCAGGAGCCTCCTGACCATCCCCTACAGCTCCTCCCTTACCTCCAGGATGTTATGGAGCCTTGCAGCCTGACTAAGTTGCTGCCTTCCCAGCCAGCAGGGAACTGAGCTCTTTATATAGGCAGCCAGAGAATTAAAATGGCTGCCTTAATCAAGCACCTGCTGGCTGCTTAACTTTGGTCTTAAAGTAGCAGGCACCAACAGTGCCCTGCCACACACCTTCCCCCTTTAAATGGTACCTAGGGGGTTTCCCCTGCTGCTCTTCCAAAGCAGGCTCCCATTGGAGCCTGTGGGAGCCCCCAAGTGGCGAGCACCCTCAAAGGTACTCTGCCACAGTGAGATGAAAATAGCAGGGATGATAGCCCCTCATGCAGGCATAAGGCTTTGCTGCAAGCCTTCCAAATCTCTGAATCTTTCCGAATTGATTCAGAGCCTTCCAATTTGATTTGGACCTTTTAATGGGTCTCCAAATTCAATTCGGATTTGGAGATTCGGCTGTCGAATCAGGCCAAATCTCCTCCAAATCGAATCAGCTACTGAAGCTTGACACATCCCTACTATCTATCTACCACCTGATGCCAAATGGCTTATTTATATTTCCCTGGTACCTATGAATGGAGTCAGTGGATATGTTAACTGACCTCCTGATTTAACTCTCAAGGGGAATTTGGCTGGGATCCTGTCCAATCATTGTACATGCTGGACTGGGAAAAAGGAATAACTCTGTAGCCTAGGGCCGGTATTTT